AGTATTTGGGATTTCCCCCCTTTTAAAAATTTCGTAATTTTTGCCCAAAAAACCTTTTGTTACTTGCTATGGAAAATTTAAAAATAAAGTAACTTAATCCCCCCCCAGCCCTATTAACTATTTATACCCCAGGTATAATTTTTATTTTTTATATATTCACAGAAATCTTTGTGTGAGGGGGAAACATAAGCTGATTTTTTTGAGGGGGTATTGGTGTGGGTAAAGAAACTGCGTGATGCAAAAACCTGCCCTGCCGCAGACCCCCCCCCTCACTACACCCCTTTAAAAGGCTGTTTCATATTTCAGTGTCCATACTACATAGCATTCCACAACCACTATTTTAAAGAGGGGGAATGCAGCCCTCCTCTACTAGATCGAGCCTCATTTTTGCCAAGCTAGTCTGCCCTACCTGTCTCTACACTGATTTTTACAAAACCCGAGTATGCAGAGATACGTACTGTGTACTGCCCTAGTACTAGGGGCAAAATCCTAGTGACGGCCCTGTAAAAATGTAGAGGTGCTTGGCACAAGAGACGTTTTAATTTTTTATTATATTTTTTAGAAATGCCCTGAGAAAATCATTTAATGTGAAAGACATTAAGAAAACTCCATTGCGGGGCCGTCCGTCGTGTTCGGGGGGGGTGTTGAACCCTGAATGGTTGGGAATGATTAATTTTGTTATTAATAATTTTTTACCTTTCCCTTTTAATTTTTTATTGCTTATATTTGATAAAGTAAAACGAAAAGTGTCTTTATTTTGGGTTTTTTGACGTTGTTATGTGTTAGTAGGATGTAAAATATTAGTGCTCAGTTCAAAATTCCCTTGGGCTGTTTAAACTACTGTAATTATCGCTTGTGGCTCGGGTTTGACTGCCGGCCTTTTTTGAGCTGCAGTTGTCCACGGAGCTATCACGTGATCGAAGGGGGGGGGGGGGTCCTCACCTCGCCTGAATACTCATTTTGCTCTAAAAATCGCTTGGTGGTTGGACAAAATTGTCTGTCCATTATTCCCCTTTTTAGTTTTGTAAAAACTCTGTTTTACAGGGAAACCTTTTATAGACTTATTATTTTTTTACGTTTTAAATGGGTTGTGTGGCCAAGACACTTTAGTAACTCAAGGGCCTGAACTATAGGGTTATGACCTAAATTTTTACGGTTTCTTTGTAAATTTTCCCCAGTCGGGTATTTTTTTTATGCTGAACTTTGATTCGTATTAAAGGGGGGTTTTTTTAACTTTTGTGGAGGATCTGCTGATGGTTCTACTTATGTCGGTTTTTAAAATCTCCTTGTTCCTGATTCTGTGTTCCCGTTGGGTTTTGTATTTTCATTGGGCTTAGCATTTTTTTGTTGTTAAAGCAGACTGTTTTTGGGGGGGCAGTCCCGGGCAAGAAGTTAGTTTATTAGGGGGAAATTTTTTCAGGGGGCTTGTTTAAATCTAGTCGAGTCTGAGACATAGCGAACTACTTAGAGCAATTAAAAACCATAAACAAAATTTCCTAATTTTGTAATATCTTATTAAATGTTAATGTCCAGACCGGTTTCTTAAGAAAATTTTAAATGTGATAAAGTGCTTTCAGCACAAAAAATATTGTACTCGAGAGAATTGATATTTTTTTTGATTATTGTGTTAATTTAATTTAAATTTAATTTGATAATTAACCCCTAGACTTAATAAAAAATTTATTAAATTTTTATTTTCTTTTAGTTATTTGGGCCACCAGTTTTAATTCTGAAGCACTATTGAATAATACTCAATTCTAGTGGATAATTGGACAAGGATACTGACTACTTGTTACGAAAACCCAGTAACAGGCTGGATGCTAGAAGGGCAGTCCTTTCTAGTATTCACTGGAGATCTCTAAGCTTTTAGAATCGTGTTTTTTGTAACACTACCTACACATACATGTACAAGCATATATTATATACACACCCTTCTGGGTTTTCTTCTATTTTTCTTTCTAGTTCTTGTTCTTATTTCTTTCCTCTTACCTCCATGGGGAAGTGGAACAGAATTCTTCCTCCCTAAGCCATGCGCGTTGTAAGAGGTGACTAAAATGCCGAGAGCAAGGGGCTAGCAACCTCTTCTCCTGTATATATTACTAAATGTAAAAGGAGAAACTTCCGTTTTTCCTTTGGGCCACCCCGCGTCGGTGGATATGGTGGTGTGTTGAAAGAAGAAGTAACAAGTCTAGGTAGTAAAGCTGCTAGACAACAACTGCCAAGGGAGGTACTACTGTCCTCCCAAAGGGTGAGTGTAATTGTAATTGCTTTACATGATGGTTGGATTGCTGGTGTCCATTTTTCTCTCATAAACATGCAAGGTTTCAGGTACGTCTTGCTACTTCTACTTACACTTAGGTCACACTACACATACATGTACAAGCATATATTATACACACCCCTCTGGGTTTTCTTCTTTTTTCTTATAGTTCTTGTTTTTGTTTATTTCCTCTTATCTCCATGGGGAAGTGGAACAAATTTTTCCCCTCCATAAGCTATGCATGTTGTAAGAGGTGACTAAAATGCCAGGAGAAGGGGCTAGTAACCCCTTTTTCCTGTATAAATTACTAAAATTTAAAAAAAGAAACTTTTTTTTTTTTTTTTTTGGGTCCCCTGCCTTGGTGGGATATGGGCCCGGTTTGTTGAAAAAAAAAAGTTAAGAACAAGTGTAGTGCGTTTTGTATTTTACTTTTTACTGTGTTTTTTAAATTTTTAATTGCTAACTTAATATGTGTAGTGTAAGCCTGTTATCTTGCATTTATATGCATTTTTTTAATAGGAAAAAAAAGGGTGTTCCACTTTACAGTGATTTCTGCTTTATGGTAGTAGCCTGGAACCTAACCTGCTGTATAAGTGGGGCCCTTCAGTAGCCTGGAAACTAACCTGCTCATAAGTGGGGCCCCATTGTAATTACATAAACACACCTTTTATTTTTTTTATTTTTCTTAATTTTTCTTGTTCTTCTTTATTTCCTCTCTTCTCCATGGGGAAGTGAAAAGAATCTTTCGTCCATAAGCCATGTGTGTTTTAAGAGGTGACTAAAATGCCGGGAGCAATGGGCTAGTAACCCCTTCTCCTGCAGAAAATACTAAAAAACAGAAGAATAAAAACTCTATAAAATTAGGATGCTTGAATGGCATGGATGTAGTGCAGATGATAAGAAAGAGATGATTGCTGTTATGAATTTAAAAGAAGTTGGATGTCCTAGCTCTAAGTGAAACACAGCTGAAGGAGGTAGGTGAGTTTCAGTGGAGAGAAAAAAAATGGGGTTAGTCAGGGGTCTGGGAGAGTTAGAGTAAGGATGGGTAATAATAATGTTGAAGGATCAATTATGTAAGGAGAAGAGGAACATAAAAGTATAAATTCAAGGATTATGTGGATTAAATAAAGGTTGGGATGTGTCAAGTGTGTCATATTAAGTGTGTTTGCACCTGGAGAAGAGAGGAGGTAGAGGAAAGAAAGATTTTGGGAGAGTTAAGCAAAATTCGGGAAATTTTTTAACCAAATG